ACTTGTGTCGTTAAAGTTTCGTTGAAACGAAGTTACGGAATAAGTTAATTAACACACGGAGACGTAACACTATTGTAACAGATCTTTCTCTTTGTGTTTATGTTTTAAAATTTATAGAACACGTGAAAATTATTCCTGTTGTGACGTTGCATCGTGACATCCTCAACTTTTCCATTACATTTTAATTAAACTTAACGAGAAAATAGATGATATATTTGAATTAGATGTGTGTGTTTGTGTTTAAATATTTTTTCGTTTTATGAGCGCATTACAACGTACACAAAGGATTGTTAACAGTCCCATATTACAAGGAGCGTCCCTTCTTTAAATCTCGTACCAACTCAGTACGGAACGCCTTTTATTCCGAATTTCAATATATTAAAAATATTATCACTATGTAAAACTAGATTACCTTACCTTTCAATAACATAAAATTTGTAAAATATGACAATGTAGTTACAAAGAATCGGCCCCACGATTTTATTTAACTAATGTACCTAGCGGAAACTGTTGAACTAATATGTGGAAATTATATTATTTAACGGCTAGCATTAGCCTGTAGCGTAGTTTTAACATGGTTAGGAAAATGTCGAATGCAAGCGTGAGTGAAACAGCGGGAACATTAGACGGCCCTCTTGGATCTAAACAGAAAGAAATGAAGAGACTGTGTAGTTATAAAACTAAAAGTCAATGGGAAGAAAAATACAACTGGGTAAAACCTATCAGTTCTGATTCTGGTAAAGGCTTGTTTTGAACTTTGTACAAGCGTGACTTTAATATCAGTAATGGAGGCGAAACTGTTCGGGAGTTATCAAGTGTTACAAAAAGCGGCAAAAAATAACCTGACGAATGTAGGTGAGTACTAATTATTATTATTAACAATGTTACTAACGGTGATAATATCGGGTGGGGAAGGGATGATAAGAAAACAGCCTCATATTTTCGAAATACAATGTTGGCATAAGGATGAATTAAAATTTTGTGCTGAAGTATACTAGTTTATTTTGAAATAAATGTCAGTAGAATACTGACGTTCAAGTCGAGATTATTTAAACTTACTCCAGGTTTTTAGTTATAAAGGAACACATTTATCTGCCTTGTGAACAAAGGATATCGTTCCATATCGTAGTTCCTATGGCGATAGTAAAAAAAAAGAATGAAAACGCAATATCTCAACAGCCTTGAGAGTAAAATGTATTTACCAAACATATTATTATAAAATATCACAGCCGACTGCACGTGTTCACAAGATTAGCAATAATTACAGGCGTCAGACAATAGCAACTACACTTCTTTATCGCTAGTCGTTGTAGTCGTAGGTTTCATCCAGTATTGAACTTTGAAGCTTAATATTGTTACGTATCTGCTTGTTTGTTAATATCCGGTATAAATTCTTTCCGAGGAACTTCAGCGATACAAGTCCTTTCTTAATTAAAACTAGTTTATTCTTTCTCGATACAACTTTGTAATACACAGAATTTCCACAGTCACTTTAAACTGAACAACCTTTATAACACACGCTATAAATCACAGTGATTCGCACTTGACTCAATTATCTATCTATCTCTTCGATCTATCTGCCTATATCGCTGACTTTCTTTGCCAGGCTTATATACTAAAAAAGAGGGCGTCTAGCAAATACTCGGAGATTCGCGGGGTTCCCCGATAATTCTAGAAACTCCAGCGCGCATGCTCGCAGCGTCACGCGACTTCCGCTGTCGTAACAATAATTTACTTTGTTGACCTTTGCCACTATTGAAGCTTGAGTTACTTAGAAGCAGACCGTAACAAACAAAAAAAAAAAAACAACAACTCTAGAACAATTTAGAAAAAAAATCATTGGTCTAAATCTTCGAATTTGAAACAAGAAAAGTATTTTCAGGCCAAAGTTTTTGGAAAGAGGGTACAGTGGATTACTGATATATTTAACTGCCTAAGTTAGGAAACCAGTTACACGTATCAATCACAAATTTCTACGAGTAGTATTACAACCATAATTTGTTTAAAGTGTCATACCCAGAGTTCCTAAAATCATGCGATTGAAGCTTTAATTATATAACCGCTTGTTTTACCACAAACCTTCACAATGGAATGTCTGCGTGGTATTCTCAGTTTCACTATCCCCCCTTGAGTAATCGGGTAGGATCCGTAAGATAACTAACTGGGTTCGACAGAAAATGTTTTGCAGGAGTAAATCTGAATTATCTGTCTCTGACCGAGTTAAGAAAAAAGGAAAAGATTGGATACAATGAAAACAGTATTTATTCAGTTCACAAGTCGATCAAGAACGACCAATGTATGGATGAAAGCTTTCAGAAATATACAGATTTCTAAACCTGTTAAAAACTGTTCCAAACCGAAAAGCGTGAGCTACCTATGACACTATTGGTTATTCACATCGAAAAATAAGGTATGTTGTATCATTCAGGTGGAAAATATTGATTCTACTTTTACATCGCATGACTTTCTTTACAGTCATTTTCCAGCGAAAATGCACACGTGATGATAAAGGGGGTGATCCAAAACAATGACTAACTACGGTGTAAAGAACTTCGTTGAACAAACTTCTACGCGAAACCTACATTTTGTATGCATGAAAGTTTTTCAATTTTTCAATTAAATTTTGAATTAAATGGAGAGGGTGGAAAATATCTAGTACGCCTGCATACTACATCTGCTCTGTGTTCGCTGTTGGGATTGAACTGTGAATTTTAGCATTATAAGCCCTAAAGCTTGTCGCTTAGCCATTGGGGACACGCGATTGAAAGCATGAGGTAATCTATTGCGACTTGATATTGCACTCTTGAGACTCAGTTTTTAATAGTAATTGCAAGTCCATTTTATGAATAACTTTACTAACAGAAGATTATGTTGAGTTGAATGTATACAAAACCTGTATTATTGTTAGAAACTGCAGTAGACCTGTTAAAACAACAACAAAAACACGTATTCCTTGTTTTACATCCTATAGTTTTAAAACCTACATTGGTACCTGAATGTTGCTGTTCGATCCTGTCAGTTCGTATTAAACTGTTTACAATAGCTTTTAAATTTAGTTTTATAATAAAGTAGTAACATTTATTCCTTTTGTTGTCAGCTGGTAGTCATACTGTCGAGGAGAGAACGTTGGAAAAGTTGTGGAATTCAATGTGTTCTCAATTCAGTGACTTTTTGATAACAGTATGAAACAATTTGAAATTCTCAAGACATAAAAATTAAGAATCGTATAAGGACTGATTTTAGGTACTTAGTTTTTCATTTACAGCATGAATACAGAAATTCAAACCAAATTTGACGTTGCTGTCCATGAGCTTTTGTGATTAATTAAAATTAATTTCAAGTATATTTTTCTCAGTATTGTTAAAACTTAAGTGAATATCTTATACTTATGGGATTTAATAGAATAAATAATGTAATCTAGATATATGTTATGTAACTCTATCAAAAGTTTTGTTTGTTGTTAAGCACAAAGCTACACAATTGGCTTATCTATGCTCTGTCCACCAGGGGGCGTAATGAAAGTTTGTTAAACCGTCAAATAAGCACGGCACTAGTTTGAGCTTTGGAATACTGCAATCGTTAAAAAATACAAGTACATTTCATAATTTATTCTTATAACCAATCAAAATTTAATCAGATATAAATTTTTGGTTATAATTTCTAATTTTGAAATAATGCGCATGATTAAAAATTGACACATTTTTTTTATGATTTGATCATCCTGATTTCATGGCGACCTTTTTTTTTGTCCTAAAACTACAACTCGTAGAGCGAGAGAGAGAGAGATGGATTTTTTATTTGTTTCAAATTAAAAATTTTATATCTGTAAAATATGTATAATTAAATGAAAACCACGATTTTCTTGAACTAATTATGACTCACTTTATCTTTCGTATATAATTTCAAATGTGAATTATAGTTTTTAATGAAGTAATTAGATGCTTCTGTAACGTGTTGTAGATAAATTCTAATGAGCATTACGATTGTTTTTGAATAAATATATGACTATGACTTTCATTAACTTGTATAAATAATTTTAAGTATGAGCTATGATTTTTCTGAACCATTACTCGATCTTCAACTGCTGTGACAAACTATTCTGAACTTCAAGTCCGCTTACTATCAAAGAAGGTTCTAAATTTTGGAAATTATGTAAAGCAAATAGTTGCATTTTTAACTAATGAATATTGCCTATCAAACTTTTCAATGGAAACTTGGTATACTTGTATAGATGAAGCTACGAATTTATTATTACACATTCATAAATAGTCAACTGACACTGTTTTCGTTTTTTCACACTAGAGAGCAGCCCAGAACTATGAGGTGGGTTGCCAGTACTGTGATGCGAGTGTGACTTAATATTATTGCTAAAAAGCTTGAGTAGAAGTCCTTGAGACTGAGTTGCACTTGAGTGAATGAGGAGTTTAGCCAGTATTCGTTGTTTTTAAACATTGTTTTTGCGCTAGTTAGAAGGTATGTCTTTGTGAAATTGCTTTTAGTATATTTAAAGTTGAAATGTCGGCATATTAGAATTATATTCTATTAGTATTATTATCACTATCGCTGTATCATTCTATCAGTTAATTAGGTTAATATTAAATGTGACAAGTGCTACCAGCACTGCTAGGACTGTAGTACTGTTACTAAATACTAGTATTATAAATATAATATTACTCACTGTTAGTATTATTGGGCCTGGCTTGGTGAATAATAGTGTTCTGTTAATGTTATTCATAGTTAGTGTAGAGCTGTTAATACTATTGTTAATGTAACAAAAGCTTACACAAACAGCGTCTTTGTTTTGTTTGTTATATCTTAGTTTCTCTAATTTCATCCTCGACGGTGAAACACTGAGACTGAGAGTACATGACTTATTTCTTTTTGAGGGTCAATACCTAGTTCAGGTTCATTTGCTTCTGCGGCGATTCAAACCTGAAGAAGAAAGTTACAGTTGATAATGATAGTACTTCTAGTATTGGTGCTGTAAATTATAATATCGGTCAACTTTTAAATTATAAAAGTAGGGTACATCTATACTCTAGCCTTTACAGTGATTATGTTGCCAAATGTTTAAGTAATTTATTATAACACAACATGTATGCTTATTCAGGATAACTTAAGTTCATTATCATAGTTTTGCAGCTAATAAGGATAGTTAAGACATATTTTATGTGGATACAGTTTCTTTGTTCCATAACTTAATGAGTTTATCTGATTTTGTTAGAATAACTTGTTTATGTAGACTAAATATACAGTATTCTTGATGGTATGAATAAAAGATTCTTCATTTAGGTGTGAGAATAAGAAATTTAGATTCTATTACACAAATGTGGTTTTTAATGCCTGTAATTGGTAATTTTATGACTTTTATTTTACTGTTAGACTTAGATGTATTTATGTTTTTTGGCTGTTTACTTTTTTAAACAGGTATGGTATATATAAACTGTAACTAAAGTGGACTTAAAATAGTACCAAATTAGAGACAGGTGTATCTGTTTTTTTTTCTTTGTTAACTGTGATAAAACTCTTTTGTAATAAACGATTTTTTTCAATGAATAAAACTCAATTACTTTTAAAATTTAAACATATTTAGGCCAAATTTAACTTTTTTTTTAGAAGACTGTTCACTACAGTTGTCATTCTAATGTTGGTTGTTTAGCTCTTTGGAGTTGAATGTGTGTAGGTTTATTATATGTTAATTGTCATGTTTCAAATAGCAACTTATTACAGTCAGGTTTAAAATATCATAAAATTTTGATTAAGTTTCCTTGTAAAACCTAAATATTGTTATTCACAAAATAGTTTTATATATTTGATTTTTTTTGCATATATTTATATTACTGGTCTAAGACTGTTATAGTTAAAAATATTTGTTGTTAATTATTTTTTTTTTTTATAAAAGACAAAATTACATAAAGATGACTGGACAGAAAAACTTGACACTAGAGGAAGTTCTTCCAGACTTCCCACCAGGTCCGTTACACGAATACCGACAGAAAGCTTCTTTCAATTGGAGAAAAATGAAAGTACTGATGGAAGGAGAAGATATGATACGGGTTAAGGTTTGTTATTGAAGATGATTCATTATGACTTGTGAGTAAGGATGTAAGCTTTGTGAGTATAAATCTTATTTTCACAAATTGAAATTTTATTTCGACCAAAAATTTCAGAGAATTTAGAGATAAAATGTTTTTAAGTTTACAAAGTTACTCTGTCTGTTTATTATTTTATGTTTACATTACATGATTACATAGATAGTAACATAGAAACATTTTTTAATACTTTTCCTGTATAAACTATTTATGAATAATTGAAAAATAATTTTACAAAATAAATCAGATTTTTTTATGCAAAAATTAAGATTTTAATTTAGATATTTTTTTTTTCAATGGAAAATTTAAAATTTAACTTAAAGGTCTTTTAACTTATGGATGTTGATTTTCCATGCTTGTTAATTAAATCTCATTATGGCTAAATACATCTATTTGTGAATGTTATTTAAAATAAATATTTCATTTCATGTTTTAAAATTGTACATTATCTAACAGTGTCTTTTAATTTGTTTAATTTTTCAGTTTAAGGTTTGGAAATCTTTAGAAGCAGACCCACTTTTTGCACACACACCAACGGAAGAGCTGTCACGAGAAAAGTATCGTCAGTTGTGTTTTCGTCGAATGAAACGTTTGCTAGAATATGAGTTCTACACACAGGAAGAGTTCCTACTAAATCCTCATCTAGCTCATGCTGCCTTTCTTGCTGTTGGCATGTATGACTGGTCACTTGCAGTAAAAAAATTCTTAGCATTTGAGGTGTGTTAAGATGTTGATCTTTATACAAAAAAATCTAAATTGGGTTGATATACAGATGTTTTCATATAATTTAAATTTCTTCAAGGTATTAATTCTTATGGTGAATTAAAGAATATCAAAAATACACAAGTTCATTTTTTTTAGGTATGTTAAAGGTAAGCTGTAAGCTTATTGTTGAGGGAAAGTCTGAGCTTTTCAATGTTTTCTTCTCTTTTTACAAGAGAAGATATTAGCAAAGTTTGTGATCCTGAAAATTCTATAGAAAGTACTGGAATTAATCTGAATTATGTAGATATTAATTCCTTGGTAGGAAAGATTAAGAGATTTAAAGGTAGAGAAAGCACCAGGGCCAGCCGTGGTTTCCCTTAGGTCTTTATGGGAGGCAAAGGATCAGATATTCAGGCCATTCTCTTTCATTTTTAGTAGATCAAAAGAGATAGGGCAAGTGTCTGAGAATTGGAAAGTTGCTTATATTACTCCAATTTTCAAAGAGATGATAAAAGTTGCCCAGTTTATATATTAATTTGTCTCAGCTCTGTGATACTCGGGTCCACTGATATCCAACAGATCAAAAATATCTGTAAAATTCTGATTCTGGAAATGTTACACAGTAGATAAATTGAACATGGACAGCAAAAGAAAGAAACACAAGTGAAAAAATACAAGCTTTATTCACAATAGTTGAATATTTTACTTACTGGTCAGCTTACAGTTTTGTGTTCTTACTGGTTGTTGGTGTAAGAGGCTTTCTCTATTTCTATTTCCACACAGGACAAAAGAATCCTATGTCATGTCTGTGTAGACAAAGGGAATTCTGATTTACTGCCAAAAGTTAGACCAAATATTAAAAGTGTGGCATATCGGAGGCCAGTGCAGCATATGTTGCTGACTATTGCAGACAATATTTACAGGGGAGAAAAACCCATAACTCATTCCAAATTGTACAAGTATCTTAGCCATCCCCTTGAGATGGGCTCACCCCTCTCTAAGATGTTGCACAAGGCCAAAGTGTTTTTGGTCATTGGTATATGAAACTTGACCTGAGTGAAAGGATTAATACTTTTTTTTATGACCTTTTGGGATATGATTAACATATATGTTATATGACATGTGGAATACCAGCACGAGAATTTAGAAGGATTATCTGAACATTCCTGACTAAAGATACATTCTCTGCTAGTTAGGGAAGAGTGATTATTTCAGTCATTACACTTTTGTAATGTAAACATTTCTAAAGAGGCTGAGTTAAAACAACAAACAAACATTACAAAACAATTTAGTGAAATATGATTAACCATAGGGAAATCTACCTTTTTTTCGTTTCACTTCAGGATGTTACTGTATACATCTGGAAATAGGAAAATGTGTGGACTTGGTGTATTTAGATTTTCCAAAAGCTGTTGATGAGGTGCCACGTTAACTAAGAAAATCACGCCAGTAGTGACTGGAGAAAGAACATTTAGTTAACTGGATTGTTGGGTGGTTGGATGGGAGAAACTTAAAGATTGTTATTGGTGTGATCCAGTCAAAATGGACCCATGTTACTAGTGGATCAATGAATGATGGACAAGTATTTTACAAAGGACTTAATTGTAGTAAGTGTAAGGTGATGCATTTGGGTTATCATAGTTTGGATCACAGTTTTAATATGGATGAGAAGCTACTCAAGACACTGAAGAAAAGGATCACAGCATTCATAGCATGGTGGTGGATAAGTCACTCAATCCATCAAAGAAGCTCTTCGATTCTAGTAGTAAAACTATTAGACATTTAAGGTGTATTTATAGAAATATTGATAAGTCAAAAGAAGTAAGAAGTGATGTTTCTCACCATATATATATACGTATAAGGATTTAAGAGGGGAATCAATGATTTTTCCGGAATGTAGGTGCAGGTTTAAATTTGTGTAGCCATCATTGCAGGATCAGATGGTCTCTTGTTGTCCATGGCTGAAAATGTGTTCCAAATCTCGTTCAAGCAATTATTTAGTTAATTGATGAAAAATTATTGTATTATAAAAGCACGTTGTTTAAACAGGACAAGGAAGTACAGGTTCATATTTCATAAGGACACATACAAGATTTGTTTTAGGCTAGTACCAAACTTTTTCCACTTAATAGTGTGACAAAATCTTCATAAAAAAAAGCCTATACACCTTTTAAGAGTATATAGGCCTATACTGTAATTTATGTCATCTCCTGTAGGTACAAAGTATATAGAATATAAATAGTCACACACAGGGCTGTAGAAAAAAAAAGAAACTTGAAAGATTAGAACTTTAATGATACAAATATGTATTGAGAAAGAATTGTAAATATTTGTAGTTACCATTATTATATGTACGTAGTGTCATGTTTGCAGATTGGTTCTGGTCTATAGATCGGTGAGTAGGAACCACTGATCTGGGCATTGGAGTAAAGGCTGATTCAAAAATATTTCAATAGTAAATTTTCATACGTAAAACAAATATATATATATACAGTTAAAGTGGTAATAACCATTCACTTGGTTACGTCAACACAAATTATTGAGATTTATGTATTTAACTTCTTTTGA